TCTTGATTAGTTCTATTGTTCATAGAACTGCTGGCTCTCTATGAACAATAGAACTAATCAAGACTAGTGGTAGAACTAAATTTATGCCCTTGGTATTAGGGTTACTAATCCGGCCCTGGCTATAATTCCTCACTTCACCATCTGTGTCGCAGTTTCACGTCTCCAAAATGAGCGTACGCATGGGTCAGAGCTGGCGTGAGGCACCGCACATTTTCACGTCAAGTTTGGATTTTATAAATCACAACCTTTGCGTAAAAAGTGGCGTACGCAAGTTTCTGGGCTCAAATTGTGCGTACGCCAGTTTTATAAATCCGACCCCAGGTGTGTGAAACACAAACAACACCTGCAGGAAAGACCACATTCTTTAAAATGAGAAATAGAATTTCTTTAAATGCATGAAGCAACCAATGGTGAAGTCTGGAGCTCAGATAGCATGACCGTAGCACAGGGAGGCCAGCTGTTCCCTGACAGTTCTCTGGGTTCTGGGCCAGAAACAATCTGCAAGCTCATTCTATCTGGCCTTTAAAGTCCTAACTTATTAACATACACTTTGGCTACGTTCACACTGCTCCTTTTTTTCCCATCAGACTCCAGTGTGAACTCTCCACGGTCCATTCAGCTGGCTGTTTACAGAAGTAGCTAAATATAGATGCTACATGTTAGCATGTGGATTCTGAAGTTTTTGTGCAATCAGAGCAGATTAAATAATTATCTGACAGTGTTGTTTACCGGATGCTCCGGTGCGGCGTTTTATTTTGTGAACGATGCAACATGCTAAAAGTCAAGTATCGATTCAATAACTTTAGTATCCATACAGTCCAACAACGTTTCTGTCATATGTTTCTGTTGATTCTCAGTCATCCAGGACATGGAAAATTAAAAGAAATTAGACAAACCAACTGGACTTCTGTTCAGTAGCTGAAGATGTGTGGAGTTATAAGATTGAGACTGAGTAACACGAGGTTAATTTCATCATTATTTTATGGATAGATCCGCTCACTCCCACCTCACAGATGTAAAAGTCAAATGAAATAAGACACAACTTCAGACGGGGGATCGCTTTGAAAAACATCAGATATGTATCTGATTTAGTACTACTTACTGAAAAGGCTTTAATTTGGTGGGATGCAGGAAAATCCTAAATCTCCAGTTCTACACAGATCATTTTCACTTTGGCTTTGTCCATTCAGACTGTTTTTTTTTTTTCCAAATAATCATTTTTATTTCTAAAAATTGATCCTTGTAAACGCTGTTTGAGCCGTCACTGGAAGCCTGTTTATTTACACGAAAACACCTAAAATGAGCCCCAAGAAGCTGCAGTAACTATGCCAGGCTACTAAAAACAATAAAGAAGGCGTGAAGTATGAACACATGACTCACACACTGGATGAAATATGTAAACACAACCAGGAGATGAGGACACACACACACACGCTAAGTTTTTTCACTCTGGAACCTGTTTTTAAAACATACTTTTGGTGGATCATAAGACATTGTTTCCACACAAGACTAAAACAATAAAAACTTTTATGTATTTTAAAAAAACAGACTCAATCTTAGTCTAATGCAGATTATTACAACGTCACTTTAAGGCCAAATAGACTCAAAACCTTCATAGATCYAGAAGTAGATAAAAGTTGATATTTAGTGCAGTGGTGCGCAGCAGACTGATCCATAACTTGTTACAGAAAAACTGTGATAAACCACGAGAAACAGCGAAGGTGTGGCAAGCAGTAAAAACCCAAACACAGAGACGCTAACCTGTGGCTGCGCCCCACACCCCCTCACATGATGAAAACAGACTACAAACAACAGAACAAACATAACTGTGACAAAGAGATTAGCTGATTTGTTCATCTGGCAAGACGGCGGCTGAATATGAACACCCTCGACGTGACGTAATGTGCAAACTACGTGTAATATCTGCTAATGAAGTGTCCAACTACRAAACACACTGGTTTTTGATTAAATTTTGTTGGAGACACCTGCTGTATGGAGTCCTCAAAATGCAYTGCCTCAGATTCAGACATGCATTACAATCATTACATCAGACATCATTCCTGACCTACAAACAATCAACCATGATGAAATGTTAATGATTCTAATGAACAAGTCTAATAATAACCGGGTAAAATAAATGAATATACAGAGAAAGTAATTAAATAGTTTGAAACAAGTGTGTTTGAGCAGGAATCTTCTAAAACATGAAAAACAGTTAAGAAGTTGTAACGTTTCTATGCACAGATGAGTTCAAAACGATGGCTGTGGGTTTAGGTTAGCCAGCTAGCATTAAGTGAGGTGGGGAAAAGTTATTGGCCAGTTTCAGAGGTGGATTATTTTTTTTCAGTATTCCCAATATAGCAGCTAAAAAAGGTGGGGAAACACAGCACTCTCCACTCTGAGCTGCACACTCCCTTTACTAACAGAGAAACTAAATAATGCAACGCGATAAGAAAAGTTACACCCGCTGTATCTGGGCTCCGGTGCAAACGATGGAAACAGTACGAGAGCGAGAGGAAAGGCTGATAGTCTTGGCATGACTGGTGTTAAACCAGCCAAATACAGGCGCGGCTAATAAATCCAGAGGTTGAAACATAAAACTGAAGAATTTAAATCACAACTACACGTGTAAACAAGACACTTTTTTTTTCCACAGGCCAAACCACACGACGTTGCTTCCCACCACAGGCGCTCCACGCTGCAGACGCTCTAACTGGATGGTTAGAGTGTTTGCTGTCAGCTGTGGTGGATAACCAACAGTTTGACCAGGCTGGCCTTTTCTGGGCAGGAAGGAACTGAATCACTGTCTGCCCTGAACACACAGATGGCAAAACCCTTTGATTACACCACAGCAGGAAGTTAATGGGTTTCTGACCGACTCGAGACAAAAAAAAAGATACTGTGACAAATGAATTTATTTATGTGCTCATGACTCAACTTTATGCCTTCATTGCCAATTAATTTTGTTACACTTTCAGCAAATTGGTTAAAATTTTGAGCACAAATCACTGTGTCCTCTTTCAGTTCATTAAAGGGGAGGAGGGATTACACAAAATCGACTTTCTTCAGCTTTATATCATGTAATAATGTCTTTCCCTCATCAAAAACATATACAGTGTTGCTTTGACTCATTCACGCATGTTGAGAAATCCATGTAGCCATGTGGAGATGCCTAAACGCTCTCTGCTACAAAGCACCGCCTACTTACCCAAAGCTCCTCCCTGGAGCTCAGTCTGCAGCCGAGCTCCCGCCCACCTAGAGCGCCCCTCCCCCCACAGCTCCACCAGATTAGCAAAACGCATCTTAAAAATTGGGATGCACCGATATGAAAATTATTGTTATTATGGCTGATAACAGGCACACTTGGGTCTTTTTTTTTGATACTGTAAATAAACAACCAGACCTCTGACATGGCTCCCTACTTTAGTTATTCCTGGCTGTGCAGCATCAATATCACCATCATGATCAAACAGATACCGCTCAACCAACCATCTCCCCTCCCAAAACAGAAACACAAAGATAAAAAGTGGGAAATCAATAATATCAGCTCAGTTTTACATATTGGACCGATACCGATATTCTAAAAAATGACCAATATCGGCCGATACTGATATCAATACGACATATCGTGCATCCCTACTTTAAAATGGTGGCTGTTCATGATTTCATTGGAAAACATAGTTTGTTTATGATCTATATAGCTTTGTCACTTAACATTGTCGTATATGTATGGGCTGAAACGTCTTGTAAGAGCCTCTGTTCTCACTCCGGCTCTTCAGAAAACGTACTTTCACGGTCCGGTGTGAGATCGTTCGAGTGAGGTCCGAGTGTGTCCTGAGTTGACATTTCCAAAAACCGATAGTTTGTTATGTTGTTCCTTTTTTCTTTACAACAAAATACAATGCTCCTACGAAAGGTTGTAAACAGCATGAAGCATTGTTATGAAGACGTGCTGAAGTGGGAGTGTCAGAAATGGTAGGAGGTTCCTAAACAGATAGAGGCCAGTTTCAAGGCATTCACATAGGCTATGATGCAAAGTCCAGTTTATTTTTGATATATGCAGCATTTTATAAAAACTGAAGATAACATAGTTACTTAGTGCAGAATTGAACTATATGCCTGGAAAATACATAACGCCCTCCTTTAAATGTTGAGTAAACACCTTGATTTAAACAAGAATAGATAGAAAGATAAATGTCTCAAACTGAGACGTAGTACAAAAACTGATGGTAAACAACTGACTCTCACTCCCTGTTCTTTCTGGTAATCTGTTGTTCCGAGCTGTGCCTCCTCAGGCTAACCCGTCCACTCGCCGTCAAGGATACAAAACAAACAGAGGCCAGCATGTGTGCAGCAGACAGTTGAGGCCTGCTCTGTGAGCCTGGATGGATAATAACAGCGTGGGGAGAGTGGGAGGGTGTGCTGGTTGAAAGGGGGCAGAGAGAGTGTGAGAAATGCGTGGTGTTGCACAGAGCTGGCCTATAAATGGAGTTATTACCTCACTCGGGCCTCGTTCACGGCCGCTGCCAGACCGAAACCAGCCAAGGCCAACCACCAGCCCAGTGGAAAGCCTAAACACCCCATTGGAGAAGCAGCCTCCAAAACTGGCTTCAGAAATTCCTAAAGTCGGCCAGATCCAGGATTGGCTCCGGTATGCAGACAGGTTGCGATACCTGCTGTTCTATTTCCTGGGCCTCACCAGTTGGTTCTTGGGTAAAATGTGACCAGCGTAAGAAAAAAGGGGAGAAATCCAGGAAGCCGGGCATCAACGTTACACAATGGAGGCTGATTGCAGGTCCTTGCATCATCATTCTGCATCTTTTTTTCTTTTCTCAGGCTAAAGCTAAAGGAACTGTGAAAGTGACAGCAAACTAAATGCAACCGGAACTCCAGTCCGAGACAGACTGTTTCTGCTGCTCGAGCCGAAAACCAGCGCAGCCAAAATAGGTTGGAGCTAAAAACTGCAGGCGTGCTGTTGCTTCGAGCACRTTTGGAGAATGTGTGTGTTGAGAAGTTAGCGCTCGAAAGTTGAGAAAACCAGCAAAGGCAGCAGAGTGCGAGAGAAGCAAACTGCCTGAAAAGACACTGAGGGGATTTCCTCGCGCCCAGAGACACATCATGGCAAAGGCATCCGGCAGGATTAGCAGCCGGAGCCAACTGTGCTCTCACTCTGCAGCGGCGGTCAGATCCAATCTCTGCTGCACAACACATGCAGAAACGCACACGACAGCTTTCGTATGCACGGCTGCTTGGTGGAACCACGGCACACGCAATTAATGTCATAATGGGTATAATGTTTAAACGCTCTCCTTTAATCTGTCACTACAAGAAATAACTCTGACGTAACCTAAGGTACTGCTGGAGAGCAACATTAGTTGTGCAACTAATGTTTGCACAAGGTCGGTGCCGAAACTCACATTTTTTTACTTAATAACTTTGAAATTTTGCAGAACTACTTACAGCCTATACTTTTCTTGAATTACATCCAACCCCTACAGCTTTTTTTTTAGCTTCCTTAGCTTGTTTTTACCCTTTCTGAATAAGAACTGGCTGCAGGATGTAATTCCTTACAATGGAAACTACCAATGTTGTGTTGTTTCATAATGTTTCTGTATTTTTCTTCCTTGTTCTTTTAATTTTATTGCCGTTTGTTTCCAACAATACATAGTGTAACAGCAGATCTTTCCTTTGGGGACTATTAAATTATTTTAACTTTTCTAATAAAGCCATGTTTTCAGTGCAACGTTAAGGACTAGAAGGTTATTTTGCTTTAGCACATAAATAAAACAACTTATCTGAGCATCTTGTATTACAAAGTGAGGTACCATTTAACTTGTTATCTCTAGATGTGAACATGTTGTGCAGCCGTGTTTTGTTCCTCCGTACGTTTATTCTCAGTCATTTCCTTATCGAGAGTTGAAATAATTTTCATCTATAAATAGTTACTAAGACAAAGATAAAAGCTTCTTTTTAAAAAAAATCCATTTTACTAAATGTAACCAAACAAACAAACAAAAAAAACGTTGTTTTTGAACTTTGACACTGATGTACGTACAAACTTTCATAGCCGCTCCATTGATTTAAATGGAGCTATAGCAGTTTAGCTGTGTTTAAATTTAAATAATTTCAGGAAAACAGCATCAAACTCCACTGGGAAGACCACAAAACATTGTGCTACAGTTCTTATAACAATGACTCAGGATACAGCCATCATCCCCACATGGATGGACTATTTTTGATCACTTTTCCCAAGCTAAGATGCTATGCTAACAGCTGGATTGGAGCGATGGGACGAGCTGAATCTGACAGGAAAAACATGGAACTATGAACTTCACGTCTGCTCCAAACATTTTATCGGCGGTGAAAGACCAACGCAAGGACCACCTGGATCCTATTCAGCACCTTGTTGATAAACAGGTACAGCAACCTTACTGTTTTTACTGTAGCCTACTGCTAGCTTTATTCCTAACATCCATGCTAGCCTCATACAGTGATCTACTGCAGTCAGTCACACATACCATGATAATATTATACTTACAGAAATTTTAAACATCACCATAGATAATGCAGAAGCTGTAGCCCCAATGATACAAATACACACAGACACACATGGTAGATGTAGCGAGCTAAGCTATTGGTAAAAACTAGGGGTCTAAATCACCAGCTTTATCACGATACAATATGACATCAATACGAGTGAAGGTCCACATTTATAGTCTCTATGCTAAGCTCAATTAAATAAAGCTAAAATCAGCTAGTGATGTGCTACATTTGAAATAAGAAATCAAAATTGTTCATTTTTAAGTAAAAAATAATAGAATCTGAACTCTGACTTGAAAAGTTGTTTTTTGTTCACTACTCCAAACTTTACAATGTGGCTGTCCCACAAAAAGTGCTAGATGCAGTCATGAAATGTTTAATAGCACCTCTGTTAGCTCGTAACTGATTAAATTGGTCACACACAGAGTTTAAAACGTTTAAATTCAGAGTCTGCTCTCTGAGAACAAAAACTAGAAAACTGCACTGGTTTTCTGATTCGTAACTGTTCGGTTTGACAAATTTCAGATCTGAGGTCCAACTTTCACAGTGAATGAAACAGAATAAAACTTGACTAAACTGAAGAGCTCCTTGGAGTTGGAACAATTTACCAGCAGCAATAAAAACTGCTAAAAAAATGTCAGAGACTTGACCTCTCAGGTGAAACTGAGAAAAGAAATCTGTCAACGCTGATGGACTCCGGCTTTTACAGCTCTGAAGAGACGATGATTTAGTTCGAAGATGATGATGAGTCTGAAGATCTCAACCAGAAAAAAAAAAAAGCTCTTGGCTCTAAAACCTCTGAGGATGGCTGCCAGAAATCTTAACAAGCTCTCCGTTTTTCACACAAAGAGCCTGTGAAGAACACAGAGAGTCTTCTGGCCCAACACCATCTCAAACAAACAACTGCTTTCTTGTTGTTGTGAAAACAGCATGGAGACCACCGTGAGGAGACGGTGGAGGTGGACGGGGATAAGCTTAGTTAAGAACCTGATATTATCCCCACAWCCCTACACTGGACACCAGAAGGCAAGAGAGGCGAACTGAAAAACACTGGGTGAGGAACGGAGATGAAGACCTAAAGCACGAAGCAGACAGGAAGTGGAGGACCTTTGCTCGTGCTCTTTATGTCAGCGGACAAAGGTCAATATCTCAAGCAATGCCTCCTGAATAAACACACATTTATGCATCTTTACACATGCCACACCATCATTTTGTTGTAGAGTTTCATTTACGACGGCCTACCTTGTGTGTTCCTGTGCTGTCCAGGTCCATTTTGAAGACCGTCATCTACAGGAGCAAAAAGAAAACACCAGTTTTAGGTCACAGTCGATGCATGCCCTACATATAAATGAACTGCTGTAACACAGGTTAGCACATTCACCTTGTAAAGAAAGATCAGTCTGAACATACTGATCTGAGATTTCTGGGTTTGGTTTACAAAGAATAAGACTGAAAGTCATTTATTCATGCGACAATAGAAGCAGCATTGACGTAGGCCTGCATTTGTGTGCTCACAAGCATTCCTTCAGTGTTTATTTATATTCACATGTGGTAGGTGTGAATACAATACAGGGACAATTGTCCTTCGGTCCAATTTGTTCAAATCAAATGTGTGGATCTTGCAAAACGGGTAAAACATCATACAGCAGGAGAATTTAACTAAGCTGCTCCAGGGGCCACAGTTAATGCAGGTCAACAGCTCAGGGGCCGAACATCAAGCAATTGAAGTCATTATGTAAATAAACCATTACAAAGCTGTTATATTTCAATAAGTTTATTATTAAATCATGAATAAAACAGACAGAACCCTATGTAATAAAAGAAGTGATAATAAAACAATATCAAAAACAACACATTATGCCTCCTATTTAACAAATATGACATCTCTGACTTGCCCCATTTTTTATTTTATTTTAATCTTTATACCAATTTTATTTTCACTTTCATAGTATCATCTTCAGCTGCTTGTAGTTTTAACTCCCTTGGATGTTCATAGAAATGTTTTTTACCAGCCTTTAGCCAAGGTTCTGACATTTCTGTAGATACCACACGTCTATGTCTAATAGGGTTGGGCAACATTAGCAAAAAAATAATCATGATTAATTGTGGTATTTAGCTGATAACGATTAATTTGACGATTAATCCCCTGGAGTCCCTGGGCACACTTATGTCCTGGTCACATGACCAGTTTAGTGGGAAAGATTTGCTCTTCGTAAAAATCTGTTCCAAATTCTGTAAAAATTACAGACTTCAGGCTGTACATCAATTTTTAAAACTGTGTTGATAAATAAATAACAGACCTTTTTTTAAAATGTTTGTCATATTTGAAGCGGAGACGAGCGCCTGCTGGCATTAATCGTATTAATTGTCAAGTGCCAAAAAATAATGGACTGGTTTTCTGACGATTAATTGCACACGATACAATTACGCCCAAGTAATTCAATTAGTAAACCAGGTGTTTGGGCTTAAAAGATGAATGAACCAATTAGCAGGCCGAACTTTGGTCACTAGTGGGCTGGATGTGGCCCGCGGGCCGCCAGTTGCATAGCCCTGGTATACAGCTGCATTTTTGACACTCCCCCCCCCCTGGTTTTTATGCATGTGTTGTTTATTTTTTTGTTTGTTTTGCCTTTTTTTTCTCTGCAGTATTCCTGCCAGAGGAAGTGTGTATGTGCACACGTTTCTGAATGTGCACACAAACAGAAACATGATTTCTGCTCACCCATGTTTACTGTCATCATCAGGAAGTGGCCCCGTTGAACTCGAGCGCAGAGCTCAACTTCTCTCTGAAAACAAAGACTTCACCCTGAGAGAGGAAAACACAAACACACAAAAATACAGATTTTTAACAAACCGAGCCGTTTTCACTTTAGCTTGCCATAACATAACATTTCTGTGATTGCACAAAAAACAGTGATTAAACAGGACACAGGTGGGTATTTATTTAATATTTCCTCACCCTTTCCTGCTGAGCATATCCTTCTGTGATAAAGTTGCATTTGATCCTGGTAACCACTGAATTGTTCCTGCCTCTCTCAAAACCTTAAAGCAGTCAAAGCAGGCGAGGGAACTCCTCACGTTTAATGACGGAGCAGACAGATGAAGCCGCTGAGGCAGGTGTGGGTGTTTGCCGTACAAACTGCCTCAGGTAAAGACAATAAGCTTTAAAATGCCAGGCGTGTTTTCCTCTTGCATTAGGCTGACTTGTCTTAAAAATGGCTACATTTATAGGAGGGCTCTAGCAGGTATGTTTAAAATACTGAGGGAAACATTTGCTTGTTTCAGGAAGAGAAAAAGTGGAACTGGAACTTTAAAACAACAACAGCTGCTGCAGCTGCGATGCAACACTGTGGTCATGAGATAATGTGTGTTAACCATCCCGCTTCAATCACAGGTACATAAAAGGCTTTCAGTGCTTTTTGGAAAGACAAAAAAAAAATAACAATACATAGTGTCTGGGACACATTACAAAAAAAAAGTTTTGGCCACACATGAGTCATCTTTTAAATGGTATTACACAATTTCCGGTGAAAAAGGTTAACGCTAGACTTGGCCACCTAGAACTGACTGTGGTTAAACAAATTGTTCAAATGTAAAACCCCCAGATGATGCAAAGGAAGACAATTTGTGTGTTTGACCATGTTGTTTCCGTCTGTCACCACTGGATGAATTTGGGTGAAGCTAGCAAAACGTAATCATTAGAGGAACATCTACGGCTGATCTACAGAAGACTGTCTGTCACCACACACAACTGACCTGAGAACACAAGAAAATGAGCTTTATTCCAACAAGGTTACAAATAATGAGACAGATGTTAATTACTGTGTGACGTGTGATGCTGACTACTTGACCAGGTCACCCTTTTTTACCTGGTTAAATCAAGGTGACTGAAAATAAAGGTGACTGATAAACTGTTATATACTACCCTGCAATGAGTTCAATGAGTCATTTACAAAACATATTTCAGAGAGAGAGAGAGGACATTTAGTTTAAATGCTCTAAAGAACAGCAGAACAGCAGCTACAGATCAGCAGCTAAAGAACAGCAGCTAAAGAACAGCAGCTAAAGAACAACAGCTACAGAACAGCAGCTAAAGAACAACAGCTACAGAACAGCAGCTAAAGAACAGCAGCTAAAGAACAGCAGCTACAGAACAGCAGCTAAAGAACAGCAGCTAAAGAACAGCAGTTATAGAACAACAGCTAAAGAACAGCAGCTACAGAACAACAGCTAAAGAACAGCTACAGAACAGCAGCTACAGAACAGCAGCTAAAGAACAGCTACAGAACAGCAGTTATAGAACAACAGCTAAAGAACAGCAGCTACAGAACAACAGCTAAAGAACAGCTACAGAACAGCAGCTACAGAACAACAGCTACAGAACAGCAGCTAAAGAACAGCAGTTACAGAAGAGCAACTAAAGAACAGCAGCTACAGAACAACAGCTAAAGAACAGCTACAGAACAGCAGCTACAGAACAGCAGTTACAGAACAGCAACTAAAGAACAGCAGCTACAGAACAACAGCTAAAGAACAGCAGCTAAAAAACAGCTACAGAACAGCAGTTATAGAACAACAGCTAAAGAACAGCAGCTACAGAACAACAGCTAAAGAACAGCAGCTAAAGAACAGCAGCTAAAGAACAGCTACAGAACAGCAGCTACAGAACAGCAGCTACAGAACAGCAGCTAAAGAACAGCTACAGAACAGCAGCTAAAGAACAGCTACAGAACAGCAGCTACAGAACAGCAGCTACAGAACAGCTACAGAACAGCAGCTAAAGAACAGCAGCTACAGAACAACAGCTAAAGAACAGCAGCTACAGAACAACAGCTACAGAACAGCTAAAGGACAGCAGCTACAGAACAACAGCTACAGAACAGCTAAAGAACAACAGCTACAGAACAACAGCTAAAGAACAGCAGCTACAGAACAACAGCTACAGAACAGCTACAGAACAGCAGCTACAGAACAGCTAAAGAACAGCAGCTAAAGAACAGCTACAGAACAGCAGCTAAAGAACAGCTACAGAACAGCAGCTACAGAACAGCTACAGAAAAGAAGCTAAAGAACAGCTACAGAACAGCAGCTAAAGAACAGCTACAGAACAGCAGCTAAAGAACAACAGCTAAAGAACAGCAGCTAAAGAACAGCTAGAGAACAGCAGCTAAAGAACAGCAGCTACAGAACAGCAGCTAAAGAACAGCAGCTACAGAACAACAGCTAAAGAACAGCAGCTACAGAACAACAGCTAAAGAACAGCTACAGAACAGCAGCTACAG